AAAAAAAAAAAAAAAGAGAGAGAGGAAGAAGAGACACAAAGGCCTGTTGTTAAACTCCAAATGTCTCTAAAAGCTGCCTCTCTAAAAAGTCACTTTTTCCTGGTTTTATGTTATCCCAATATCTGCATGCCTTTGACCTGCAGAAAGCTAGCTATCATATTCATACCCAACAAAAAGCAGAAAAACAACAGAGAGAGAATGGGAGGAAGGAAACAAATAAGGGTAAGAGAGAGAGAATTTGAGAAAAATGAAAGATAAATACCCTCAATACGAATACTATACCGGGGGAGATGCTACGGTCTCGTTACCGATCGTTTTGTTGGAGGTTTCTAATTATTAGATCAATTATTTCTGACGATTACATTATTATCTAACAGTTATAAATTCCGACGGAATAATTCCGTAACGGGAGTACGAGACCGTAGCATTTCCCTAATATATGGAGCCTTGAAATCTCATATATATATGTATTATCAGCACAAATATTCGGGTGATACAGAGTAACTATTAAATGGTCGATCAGTAATATTTTTATAATGAAAATACATATTTATGCTATGAAATATTATATTATTTATATTCATAATAATACATATTAATATCATACTGTTGACATTAAGAATTTGACACTTTAATTTGAAAGTATCCATACATATTAAAAATTGATAGTAGTCTAATTGTTAAATCTGTTTAAGTTGTAGCTTTAGGTATATTGGTCTACATATATTGGTTTTATACATATGCAAAATCTCATTATAAAAAGTAAATATGATATATTTAATAATATGAATACCATTTTTATTTAATACACGTGCATACTCCCATTAGAGAAAGTAAGTATAATATTTAACAATATAAATAACATTTTATTTTTTTCTTTTTGGTACAATATACGAGTGAAGTCATTTTGTTAGCAAAAGAAAAAAGCACATAAAAACGGAAATATGGTAGGTTGACTCTTTCTCTCTTCACTCAACACAACAAAAAATAATCAAATATAGCTTTTTTTTTTTTTTCTAATCTTCCTATGCGTGACGCAGTGAAGATTTTGACTTTTCTTTCTGGTTAACTACAGTAAATTAGTACAGTACAACTCACTTTTTCATTTTTTTTTTACATTGTTCTATTTTTTATTTTTACGAGAAATTGAGGCAAAGCCTAACTACAACAAGACCAACACGTTTACAGAATACGGACACCCCTACCAAATCATGAGCTAGTCAAGTCTTCACACTCGAAGGAAGATTGTCCGAACGCTGATTATGAATATGTTTGGTAAATACTACTCCCTCCTATTTTTAATAAGTGTCGTTTTGAGAAGTTGCACAGTTATTAAGAATATTTTTTTTGTCAATAATAACCCTCATTAATGAGGATAGAGATGAATGTTTTGAGAAAAGATAAATAGTTAATATGAAAAGAAGTAGTGTATTTATTAGATAGATAAGGGTAATAATGGAAAAATATGTACAAAATATCCAAAACGACATTTATTTTGTAAATAGTTGATAATGCCAAAATGACATTTAAAAAGAATAGGAGGTAGTATATGTTAGCTTATAAACTTTATGTATTCAAATAATTTTGAATTGATATATATTTGGTAAACCTATGGTGATAACTTATAAGTGAATTTTGAACCTATACATGATAAGTTATGTCTTATGGTCTAAAGGCTAGTTGATATAAATGTTCGATAAATATATAGATGATAAGTCAGATGAATACAAATTTCGACGGGCTTATTTGAAAGCTACCAAAAGAAACTTTGAGATAAGCTCAAAATCTTTTTAAAAAGTTCGTTATGTCAAACCAAAGTTATTTGGATACAAAAAAGTTACTAGCTAAACGTATAAGATATAGCTAGCTTATGGTACTTATCAAACACACTTTTAGTTTGGTTGGACGAGCTTTTTAAATAGTTCGATTTTATTTCATAAGTTTACTTGAATATCTTTTCAAATAAGTCAATTGACTTTTTTTTTCAGCTAGTTTATCAATCAATTTTATCAAACATTTTTATCATATAAATTAATTTTTCACTCATAGATCATAAGTTATTAGCTATAAGTTCGAAATTCACTAAAAGTTATCAACTAACTTATTATCTTTAAGCTATTTATTAAGTAAGTTTACCAAATATAGTCTATATATAATTTGAGATCACCTATATTTGGTGGAATATATTATTTAAACAAAGATGAATATTTATTTATATTATTTTTTAAAATATGACAGTATTAATCCTTAGGTTGGTACACAAAACCAGGGGCGAAACCATTCACACATTCGGAGTGGCGCCGGCCCCTCCAAAAAAAAAAAAAATTTAAACTAGGGGTAGAGGATTTTGCTGGAACTGGAAGATTTTTCTTTGAGCGCGCGTGTTGGGCCCTCCCCGGTTTCATGCGGTACATACATGGCCGGAGGGGCGCCACTGGTTTTGTCGTGAATTTTTTTTTAAAGGCAAATTGGGCCCTCCCTGAAATGGGATCCTGGTTTTTTCGGGACAAGGAGAACTATAACAGCAGCAGAATTTAATAATTTTTTTTATTTTTATTATATTTTGAGTTGGTTAATTAGCCGACTTGCGGTGTACCGACGGGACTCAAAAATCGAGTCGATCATTACCAAAAAATACTTTTATGAAAGTACGGGAAGCGGAGAGTGTGTTGGTGGCATCGATTTATGATTTTGATGTCCCCACCATTTATTTTGGGTAGCCCGAAGTTGAGAGAAAAATGACAGTGGCGGTGATTTATTGTCATTTTCATGTCTAAACTTCGGATAACCGTCGGCCCTCGTTAGGCGTGCTGAAAATTAGCGGGAGTGCTTTATTGAAAGCACGAGAACAGTAGAAGCCGTTCGTAAAATTTATTTCACGTTTCGAAGTTTCGAGCATTTATTTTGAGAAGCTCGAAGTCGAGTGCGCATAATAGAAGAATAAAAAGCCGTTTTGTGGGGTTCCGTAAGGTTGCGTGTGACCTCGGTTTAACGAGAATCGAGTTGGAGCGTGATTCTATACAGACAAATTTCGCATTTTTCGGAGTTCCGAGCATTTATTATAAGAGTTTGAATTTCTGCGTTAAATAGTATCAAAAGGAGCAAATTTGTCGAGGACGAGTTCGATCGTTCGAGGCTTCGTTTTCTCAATTTTTTCAGCTTTTCGTCTATTCGAAAGGAGGTATAATTATTGATTATTATTATAATTGAGTCCGAGATTTTTATTAGTATAAATTCGAGTATTTTTCGAGTTAAAACAATTCAGTTTAAGTATACTAGTTTAATTCCGGACTTAGTTTGACTTTTAGAAAAATCTCTAGGGTATTATTTTATATCCTGCGAAAATTTTTGAGTGCGTCCACAAAAGCCCTTTGAGCGTCCTTCTGATGCTCGAGTGGGGGTGGTGCGCCGCGGGATGACCGGAGTGGGGGTGGTGCGCCGCGGTAAATTGGGCCCTCCCCGAGATGACCGGCTGGTTTCGCCACTGCACAAAACCTACCGTTTTGAGATATATTGGCCACAAATGTTGAGAGAACCAAACTTCTTTACAACCAAATTATACAAAATGAACAGTTAATTTGATTTGTTATATTAATTTACCAAAATTAAGTTAATAAATGCCAAATTAAATTTAAATTAATGTACAGAATTGTGTGTTAACAAAATCTGAATGACATGGACTTATCATCCGTCATCGGTGACCACGTAAAAGCATTTTGGCAATATAGCACGATTAAACTTATGAGAATTTTAAAACAAAATCAAATAATCAATTTATGTAATTCTATATATACGTCAGTTTTGCTATGGAGCAATCAAATGACTCGACTTATAGAGTATCCACAGTTATTAACAAATAGTGTATTGACACGTGTCATACAATAAATATACTTTGAACATGTGTCAATACATTAAGTGATCGATGGGTTGATAAGAAAACTATCTGATGGCTCCATAAAATTTTTGATATATGTATATAGATTTACAGTACATGATGTGTTGCACTAAATTTCTTTCGGTGTGTACAGTGTACTTGTAAGAAATCTAATTACATTAATATTAGTATCCTCCCTATATATAATTCCCGAATGTGCTGAGCCTACGTGGCTGTTTCTGGTGCTTCGGAATCCTATTTGGCGAAGAATCATGCTTTGTAATTAGGTTTGG